TAGACTTTTAAGAGTCAATTTGCCAGATTTCCCCTGAAACAAGCCCTCTCTTAGTGACAGCTTTCAGATTGTGCCTGCTGCGATTTGGAATCAAAGGGGGGGGGACTCCAAAAATTTCTTGCCAAGGCATACTGAACAGGCTTTAAAGTGAGTCGACAGATCTCTAGCAGCTTGCCATCTCTGTGTCCCAAGGCTGTTGTCACTGAGTGCTACTGACTCCTCCCTCGCTCACCTGTCCTGCTCACAGCTCCAGGCTCCTATCTCTCCCATCTGCAGCTGTCAGCAGGTCAAAGAAGGGGGTGGTAAGAAGAGGGTAAACACTGTCCTGGCTCAGCAAAAAGGCCCTTCCACCACCACCACCACCACCCCAACGCCCCTTGGTGACATTGCCTGCATCTTTGCCTCCTTTATATGCAAGAAAGAGCTGAACAAAACAGCCCTGTTAACAGGCAAGAGGAGGTTTCTTTTACTTCAATCACAAAGTCCATCATGCTCACAGAGTCCAGACTGAGCTGAGCTGAGCTGGCTTATTGTCAAATTCAAACCTGCTATGGAGCTCTGTCCTGCCCTGTGACCTACAATACCTGCAGCAGCATGGTGAAAAACTGCTGAGGCCAAGGAGTGTGACTGCTTACACAGGGAGCTTGCATAGGCTTGTGTGATCTTACAAAAACAAAGCTTCCATTTGGTGTACATTATTGTAAAGGAAAGTGGGCACAGGCACAGGTTCCAAAATGTTTACCCAAAAGTTGTTGTTTTTTTAAATAATTATTTTAATGTTTCTGAAAATTTGAACAGGGGTCTGAAAATGTGACAATACTGTGGAGAAATGCCACATGTAAAGTGAGAATTAAAAGCTAGATGTAAACAAGCTAACTCTGACTGTTGTGAGGTTCTTTATTGCAACAAAGACGCCAAAAAAATCAAGCTGGCTAATGAACTGCTGATTGGTTAAATAATTCAAAATTTGGGGAAAATGCACATTAGTTGTCTCACAGACACAGGAGAAAAGATTAAGACCACCCTCCTGACTATATATTCAATATAAGACTACAGACAGGGGGCAGCAAGATTAGCAAGGAAATGAGATTGAAAAAAAAGCTAGCCTGTCTACGACAAAAGGTGAAAGAAACCTGCCAACCTGTGCCTTCACAGCTCACTATTTCATGTGTAAAATCTTCTTCTCTTCCTCTGTATCCAGTCTTTATACTAAACTTAACTTTTGCAGTGGCTACGCTGGTGTTGACCTTCTCATTCAGTTCTCTGGAAGAGAGCACGTAAATCCATCTTTACTTCTGTATTCAAACCTAGCACATGAAACCAGACTTTGCTTAATGAGCTGTGTTCGCTCATTCTCTAATCCCCGCTGCATGCTTATGCTACTATCTTTTGAGCCTGACCGTGCCCAGTGTCAAATGCCAAAGGACACTTGCCTGGTGTCATTGTGCAAAAGGTAATAAATAACAAGCATCAAATGCCCCCCAGTGACAGGGATACAAAATGTGCAGAGATGGGGTTTATATTTAGCTGCATGCTAAAGGAGGAGAAGCTCAATGCTGCAATGCATCGGCGGGCAGAGGAGCCCGCTCAGCATAGATCAGAATGAACGCTAAACAGGGAAGATATAAAGACAGAACAACAGCTAACTGTATGAGTGGAGCAGCGCAAGAGACTCTGACTGAGTCGAACAGGTCAAACAGTTATATTCAGCATTGATAATGTTGCTAATTATTTTTGGATTAATCTCTTTATCCATATAACCCTGTTCACAAAATACAGAAAAATCCCGTCCAAAAGATTTTAAAACGTCAACGTAACAACGTAATTATCAAATAGTGATTAGTAGAAAGGTCAAAGGTAGAAAAAGCACTGTGAATGGATGAGTAGAATGAAGAGACACTCTTGACCATATAAAGGTTGTTATTTCAAACTTAAAAGATTGCCAATAAAACATGCTAACAATCTAATAACGCATGATTTTTAGTGTTTGCTTTTCTGCAACAATGAAAAACCATAAACAGAGGTAAATCACTCCGACTGTTAGTGCAATGCATGTTTTCTACCTAAGTATACCATATAGGGACACATGGATTTTAGTACAATAGATGTTACCTATTCGCCTTTCTTATGATATATTTTACATATTTATTTTGCTTTCTTTTCTCCCTGTTTTTAATAGAGTTGTTGAATTAACCAAATGGGAAATCGGTGACTGTGAAATAGTAACAACATTGCTCACTCACTCGACAGTAAAGGCCCGCTGTATGTGTCAAATCTTTAAGATGCCTGGCTGCAAACAAAAAGACAGAATGGAGCAGTTTCCAAGTGGCGCATTAATACACAGTCACACCGGCTCTGAGGCACAATCCAAGGTGACCTGGGCTAGGACATTTCTCCATATTGCTTCATTGCAGAATCATTTTAATTTTCTGTGTGTGGCCCTGCATCCAGACACAGGCGGTGAGTTATGAGCTCACGGACCTGATGACAAAGCACAGCCACTTCCTGACGGTACGGTCAATAAACAGACAGGGTCGGAAAAAAGATGTTCTCAGGATCAGGATAAACACTGTTGCTGCGTGATGCTTGTGTAGAACATGTCCCGTTCATTAAAATGGAGCAGGTTCTATTGTGAGATGATCAAGATTTAATAAAAAGTATTGACATTAAGTATTGACAAAAAGTATTGACATGGCACAATGAAAATAAAAAAGGGAGAGCGTTAACTCATGCCTAACAATCTGTTTATTAAGCAATCTAAATTAAATGATATATATACACACATGATCTACCCTTAACAAAAACCTTTTAAGAAATCTGGGTTCTATGTCATTGTAATTTTATGTTATTCAACCTGTTTGAAACAACATTTTAGTCTTAATAACTTGTGGTGGGCATCTTGGGAGTTAGACTTTATGAAACTTGGCAACATAAAAGGATTTTATGTAAAACTGCTGTAACTGAATTGGCAAACCCGACTACAAGAGGAATAAAATATGAATGTTTCATAACATTTTAGGTCTTGAGATTATCAAGTTATGATTACATTTTGAATGTTGTAAACTGATCTGCTGGTGATGCAGAGCCAGAGAGAACATCAATTAAGCACCTTAATAAGTGTTACACTTTAAACTGTGCTACCCTTTTTCAAACCACTGGAACATGTCATTTTATGGTTCAAATTTCCGCACACTGCTTCCACACAAACATTATGCTCTTGAAATCACTCTTTCCCTTCCTGAACTTTTTGTACTTTCTAAAAAAAAAAAAAAAGTCCTATATTTCACATGACATAGTTACTGGAAAAAAAACTACAATTACTGCAGCAAAAACTCCTTTCTAAGTACTTAAACTGAGAATAAATAGCCCTATTTATGATTTATTGTGTTAGCATGTGTGTCCTAATACCCAGTTATGTGAAGAAAAAAAAAACTGGTTTTGCTGTCAATTTGCTTCCCTGTATTTTGCAGATGTAAAACTCACAGTGTGTGACCGCAGACGTTCACCATCAGCTTCAGAGAGGGATTCCTGTACTTGGTCGTTTTGCATCTCGGACACCCCTGGTCGTCCATTTCTGTCGACGCAATTTAAGATAATAAGAGTTTGAGAATAATGTCAACAACTCGCAGCTCTTACCGTCACTTCGCTTTCAAGACTGCGAACCGCTGCGTCACACAGAAAGCGGTCCGACGGGAAACGCCACTAATAAGAGAAGTTCCTACTTGATGATCACCTCTACGGGTCACTGTGTAGTGCGGGCTCACTCGGGGCTCCCAGAGAGCCAGAGGTAAGAAACTTAAGTGTTTAATTTCACGTGTACACACATGGGTTGTATTTAGAGTGAGAGAATGAAATATTTGTTATTTCATTAGGTTATCTCATCCCTAGCAACATTACTTCTTTACATTCCTTATCTAAGTCTGTACTGAAACGTAAGTCAAACCAAAGTCCTCCACAGATCTTCCACAGGGCCTCTGATATCATATTGTGTCTAGATTAAAGTGTAAATATTTATAAATAAGAATGATTTCTGTGTTTTTTTTCAGGCCCACCTTCAATCAACAATGCACAATGACGAGACCAAGGGCGTATAAGTTAGAGTTTGAAAAGTAGCCTAACTAAATGAAAGATCATTTCATCTAGGCTACATTACAGTTAACAATCAAAGGTTAAAAGAAAGAAAACATCCACTCTATCACAATAATTTAGTTATTATGCTGCAAGAAGAAAACAAATACTTTCGTGTGGCCATATTTTTAGTGCATAGTGGATATTTAGCCTACTCTTTACTTTGGGTTATTTAGCATTGTTGCAATGTGGAAATTAAACTAAAAGCTCAATTCTGTTAGAGGACAAAAATATTAATGCACACGTATCCTGTATGTTACTAAGGAAATGGTTTGAATTCGCTATTACTAAATAATCTATACTTTGATGTGAAAAATGAATCGGTCATAGGGTTTTATGTGTTATGATGTAAAGTAATCAAATGCCATACCAACTGAGAAAATGTACACCTTATTTCATTCATAATAGGGACTTAAACTATTATAAACCTGTCATGAAAATGTCAGACTGCCACTGATAAAATGAGAACCTTGGAGGCTTATGACAGTAAGTAGTATTGCCCTACTACTTTGGAAATATAATGTAAAAATGGGGTTGTATGCTGCTCATTATTTCATATTAGATACAGTCTGGGTAAATGTATTCCCCCTTGTGTTCCCACACCTTTGTGGGAATAATGACACTTTTATGTTTCACAAAAGGCTAAGTCAGCTCCTGACAATGCAGACAACAAGGATATCCCGTTCCCACGATCCTAGCAGCACTCACCTTGCACAGGTGAGCAACGGGAATCTACTGTAAGTTATATGACTGACAGCTGGAAACCAAACATTCGAGTCTGAGTCCTGCTCGCTCCTCCCAATGGGGCCCTCTGTGGCCAATAGCGTGGCTCTCCTACAGATAGACCCCAGCGTGTCTCCGTCCAGCTCCAGTCCCCGCAGAGTAAAAGTCACGTTGGAAGGAAAAGGGGAGAGACATATCTACTTACAGCTGCTGTCAGATATCCGATCGCATTCGCATGGCGAGGAAGTAACCTGATCAAGCTGGGAGGAGTGACTTTACAAGGGAAGGCTTGAACAAAAAAAAAATGTCTTCTTCTTCTGCCGGAGTAGTCACAACAGCAAATGACATCAAGAGGGAAAATGTGAAGGAGGTGGATACGCGGGAGTGCATCAAGCTTGTGGGGCTGGACGCGGCGGAGTTGTCCATGGAGCGCACGACTCCCAACACGGACGCGGTGCGCACGGAGCTTCTTGTGAGCGCCGCTTCCTCCCTGGCTTTCTCTCCGGAGCAAGTGGCGTGCGTCTGCGAGGCGCTCCAGCAGGGAGGCAATGTGGACCGGCTGGCCAGGTTCCTGTGGTCCCTGCCACAGAGTGACCTGCTCCGCGGCAACGAAAGCATCCTGAAAGCCCAAGCCCTCGTCGCGTTCCACCAGGCTCGGTATCAGGAGCTGTACAGTATTCTGGAAAACCACAGTTTCAGTCCGTCTAACCACACCTTTCTGCAGGATCTGTGGTACAAGGCCCGGTACACCGAGGCGGAGAAGGCGCGGGGGAGACCCCTGGGCGCCGTGGACAAGTATCGGATCCGGAGAAAGTACCCTCTCCCAAGGACAATCTGGGACGGTGAGGAGACTGTATATTGTTTCAAGGAGAGGTCCAGGAACGCGCTGAAGGATCTGTATAACCAGAATCGGTACCCCTCTCCAGCAGAGAAAAGGAATCTCGCCAAGATTACAGGACTCTCCTTGACCCAGGTCAGCAACTGGTTCAAAAACAGGAGACAGAGAGACAGAAACCCGTCCGAGGCACAGTCAAAAAGGTGAGGAAACAAAAGCAACAAGCTATTTCAGTCACAAACATCATATGAAACAAAATATCAATATATATTTCTGACCGTGTTGTGCGTAAAAGGCGCATTAAATTAGCCCAAGGATAATTTTAACAACGTATTTAAAGCTTCCTTGGAGAAAGGGCGCCTACATTTTTAAACCGACACTGCAAATACTTCGGGTTTTGTTAACTTCTTATTGAGCTCACTTTTCACAATTAAAATCCTTTAGCTCAGAAGCAAAAAAAAGAGTGCGTAAAAGGGTTAGGAGCACGCTTTTTCTGTTTTGAAATATGAAGCGGTTGCCACTCAGATTCGGTTTCAAGTGTGTTGCTGCTAAGGGGCATGGAAACAATAAGCAACTAAATAACATCGTTACTCCCACAGGCGGTTGGTTTGACTATCAGGCACAAAAACCTCTAAACGGCGATGAATCATTTAGCGTTTAACTTTATTTCACTTTTAGCCGTGTACAGTTAGTGTGTGTCTGTGTGCACGACGTCAAAGAAGAACACGCACATAAATCATTTTCAATATCACTTTTTTTTTTTCCCAGACAAAATTGGGCCTCCATCAGCTCCTGCGTTTCTTTTCATAATCCTCCACACACACAGAGAGCAGTGTGGCTTCTTTCATGTTTCTCTCTTTCTGTGAACAAAGCTGACGCACACCTGGTGGAGGTGACCCCTCTCTCTCTCTCTCTCTCTCTCTCTCTCTCTCTCTCAAACACACACGCGCGTTCTATTATGTTTGTCTTTTATTTGCTTAAAAAATAAAAATAAAAATTAGAAACGTCTTCTTATAAGTTTATAATCTGTTGAGATGTTGATCATATCTGTGGTAACTAGTGTCCTTGTTTCTATGTCTTCCTGGAAGTGGGGGATGAGATTGCTGGCGTGTGTGTGAATGTGCGCGCGTGCGCGTGCGCGAGTGCGTGCTGGGGAGGCTGCAGCTGTTTGAATCAATCTCAAATAAGATTGGTTCATTAATAAACTATAACAACTAAATTGTGATATAATTTCAAAGTCTTCATGAGAACAGCATAAAATAGGGATTTCAAATCGCAAAACCATTTCAAATTAGGGGAACAAATTCAAATAAATACCCTGAGCCATTTGTTGTGTCACGCCACCAGTGCTGGCATTTTGTCACACCAGAATTTATTGCGCCAAATGGTTGCATGGTTGTTGTCAGAGCAGCTCTCCATGAGGTAAGAGAGGGCTACACACTGACAAACACTGACAAACACAGCCTGCTCTTCAAAGCTGTGTCATAACACAGCAACAAATGTGACACTGTCTGCTCTGTGTTCACTTAAAGACAAGATGAGGGTCAAAGGGAAGTAAACCATAAATAAAAACTGTGTCATATTATATTTAAATGGTGAATTTACTTAAGAGGGTGTCCTCTTAACTAAACTGCTAAATTATACTATTTTACAGTCTTATTTGGGGTTAAAAAAAAAAGTGGAACAAAGTTATCTTATAATAACGTACCACTAATTGCTCCTATGTTTTCCTGCTTTTGTGACACAAAATTTATAAAGATTGTTTTTTTTCCAGTGAATCCGATGGAAACCACAGCACAGAGGACGAGTCCAGCAAAGGCCAGGAGGAGTTGTCTCCCCGGCCCCTCTCTAACTCCTCCGACGGGGTGATCACCCATGGGACCCTTCCCATTCAAACGGGGTCTTTGGACAGTGGGGTAGTCATTCAGCAGATTGGAGACATAAAGCTTCCTCCTGGATCCAGCAGTGGTGGTCTCTACAATGGCAGTCTAGTAACCAGTAACAACTCCACCGTGTTTCACAATGGAGGCTCGTCTTACCTCCACACACCCGGAAACATCCTCTTCAACGGGCTCAATTTGGGCATCCAACCCTTAGCCTTCAACCCTCTGAGGTCGTCTGGAGGGGTGCTGCTGGGAGGCTCAGGAGTGGACATGCAAATGCAAACAGGGCAGGAGAAGGGACTGAGCAGTTCTGCGGAGGATTCAGCCCTGCAGTACGCCTCCTACCAGGGCTGTGTGAACGGAGCGGAAGTGAAACTGGAGGGCATTCACACCATGGCCGCCCAGAACGGAGGCTCCTCTGTGCTCACCTTCAGCTCCTCATCAGGGCCACTGCAGCTGGGGGGCTACAGTCTAGTCCAGGTACCGAGCGGAGGAGTCTCTGACAGCGACAGCGGCACATTACTCAACAGTGATGTAGGTCTACCTCCTCTGCAACTCTCCTCTGCCTCAACGATCTCACAACAAGGTGGGTTCACAAAACTATAACATTATTTTACCTTCTATATAAGGTCGTCTTTGTAATACTCTTAGGCTCAATTTAATAAAGATTACGATCATTTATAGAAAAATGGGCAAAAGGGACTTCAATAGTGTGATAATTTGATTATAGACAACTAAAACAACAGCTTTCAGTGGATATTATCTTGTATTTCAGATAACTGTTGATGATTTAGAAGCATTCAGAGTTCATTTTCCCCTTTTCAGCAGTCAGATAAATTCAGTAAAGTTAATCACTCTGCTTTATTGTACTGTTGCTTTGTATTGTAGCAATGGCGAACAGGAAAAGACCAAATTAACATCAACTACTCTGTTAGAATAACCAATATATAGACATATACTCCTCTATTCCTATTTTAAAATAGAGGTGTTTTTATCCTTCACCTCCCATCTTGAGAGATGATGTGAGATGAGCTTTGCCCTCCTGAAATGTTCCAGTGCAATACTGCACCTACAAGCCAGTTTGTCAACAAGTCTCTACTACGTCTACCCGAAATATATCTTAGCTGCTATATTCTTGGCATGTCTGGTGTTTGGGCAGTCGTCCAAAGGGCCGATACTACACATAACACATGCAGAGCAGAAGAAATAGGGCCACACACACACACACACACACACACACACACACACACACACACACACACACACACAGACATAAAGAAGAGGTGGTCCTTTGAAAACCCCAGAGATGAATAAAAACAAGTTCTGGAGTCACCATCACTCATCATCATTGCACTCTTGATGTGCAGAGCAGGAAGGAGGAGAAATATGTTTCAGACAATCAGAGGCCGTGAAACACACTAACAGGGAGTAAGACGTTCCAGCACTCACTTTGACAGAAAGCAGAGAACCTACACCAGCATGAATAATAAGGAAAAAGAGAAAATTACAGCATGCTGTTGAGTCCTGGCTCTCGTTCTCTGGGGCTCGACTGGGTCCAGTTTCAGGAGCTCAAAGTGTGTAAAACACAAAACGGCAATTCTGGGGCCAAGGTCTGCTCTAAATTAAACATAAAACACTGTGCAAAAGGTGTAGATAGACTGCGTGTATTGATCGTTTGTTTTACTCTCTACAGGTTCCATGCCTCTGAACAATGTAGCCGTGACTTCCTCTGGTGACAACTCGTTCCAGCAACAGGACAAACTAACCATGTCGTCGCTCCACCACAACACTGTCCTCTACAACATGGGCAACCAGAACCACCCCTCCATTAAGAAGGAGCCTCTGGAAGGGGTCATCTACTCCTCGTACCACCACGGGCTCCACCTGGACCCCAGCGGCCAGCTCAGCTACACCACCCCCAACTCAGAAGATGCTCCCTCCAGCCGGGGTCCAGTCTCCACCTCCGAGGTCCCCTCTGTCAACTCGTCCAGCCCGGAACCAGAAGTCTACACCACCCTTACAGTCAGTACACCCCTCATGGCTCAGACGGACCCCAGTAGCCACCACCTCCAGCCTGCACAGTATCTCAGGGGTCCCCTGTCCTCACACCTGATCGGCCCCGGCATGCACAGCAACTTCATGAACCTTTCAGAGAACAAGGTCGGGGTGTCAGGAGGCGTGAACGAGATGGTGCGAGCAATGTGCGGGGAGATGGAGGTGGTGGAGGGAAAGGATCTCGCCAAACTACAAACAGTGCAGATGGAGGAGGACATGGCCGACCTTTAACATCTCTCCTCGCGGAAGCACTCGTGCAAAGATGCGGTGAATCTTTCAAATTTGTGTGAGCGTGTGTTTGTGAGTGTGTGTTTTTTTTTTTTTTTTTACCATTTATTTCCTTTAAATGTTAAATTATTTGTGTTCATTTGACTTTTACAATGCACTCTAGTCAGAGAGGAGCCCCGTGGGTGGGCTTTATCAGCTAATCATAAAAATAAAAAAAAAGTCTGTGACAAGTTTTTAAAAAGCCACTCACTTGTAAGAAGAAACATTACGACTGTTACTTGCTCGCAGGAGAGGAAGTTGCTGTATGAGTTTGAGCCGTGTTTAAATGTGCATTTTTATAGACAACACCTGCTACTTCCAGTTGAGTGGATTTGATCCACAGAAGCAGGTGCTGGAATGCCTCTTGTCATGTGACCGGGATGTTCCTCCAAAACTAAATGCGTCATCTGGGTCAAACCAAAAAGGTCATTCTGTAGGGGGGGGATAGAGAGAAGGACTGTGTGAAAATGGTCAGTTAAAGAGCGAGAGCTTTACTCAAGGACTGCACAAATACACACACACACACACACACACACACACACACACACACACACACACACACACACACACACACAGAGAAAAGGTCATTAAACACACCCAAAGCTGCTGATTTAGGAAAAAGTGTCCTTCAGAAATCAACTTAAAATCTCTGAACGCCTCTTGAGTTGCTGCAAAACTCTGCTTTCTATGCTTCATACAATACCAAGTTGACTGGTAGCTAAGACTAATGTGCCTTTCTGCTTCTTAAAAAACACCACAGCATTGGTCTGTTTCGGCGTTTGCACTACGACAATGTACATGTTTCAATCATTTGGAGGGTTTGTCATGTGTCACACACCTCAACAAATGCCCACTATTTCAGTAACAACTCATATTTCAAGCCTTATCATCAATCAGTGGGATGAAGATGTGACTGAAGACAGAAAGGTCTCATCATATGTTGTATATACAGCTGCAGCTTAGAGTATGTTAACTTAGATGTGATGACGCTATTCTATATCCTGTTTCATTTTGACATGTCTCTCCAAAACGTCACATTTCATGGATGCTATTTTTCTATAAAGGGATTGTGGTCATTTCTCTTTGCATGGACACTAGTGCCTTTTACTTTGTGCTTTGTGGGTAACACTGAAAGTAAACCTGTGATGCCGCTGTTGCTGACGCCGCCATCACTTCACTGGCACATTTGGGTGTCAGTGGAAGGAAAGACGAGCGAATGTGGAGCCCATTTGTCAAGTGTGTCTGGTGCATTTCACAACAGGGGCCTAATTCCTCACTGTCGTACATGACCATAATAGCACATTTCAGCCTTGCAGCCAACTCAGACGGTGCACATCTCTCACCAAGTCGAACACATGGACATGTAATACACAATCCCATCAATTTGAATGGACAGATCTGTGTATTCTCAGTGCTTTAATGTCAGATACCAAAAATGAGTCGTGGGAAAATAGAAGAACTGTGGGTCATTTGTGTTTTTTTTTTTTTTTTTTATCTTAGTTTGGATTATATGTTTGTTCTATGAAATTATGTGAATGTATTTTTCTAAATCTCAATACTGCAATAAAAGTTTATATTTATAAAAACATGAAACCGATATATTTTTTTCATTCTTTCTAGCAGTTTGATTTTCAATTAATGTAAGTGTGTTCTGAACAAAAGCTTAAGTCTCCTAAACATCTAAGAGTCCTGTGTAGCCAAATTGTGAAGGAGGGCAAGTAATCCAACAAGCCTGGTGCTGCTCTCTGCAAACCTGCGGTGATCGTTTGCACATGCCTGGCAACCTGGAGTTCATTAGCCCTCCTTTCTCATCTCAGCCCCTGTAATTCAAATAAACAGCAATGAGATTTCCAGAGGTAAAGCTCCTTTTGGGTGGGGGGTCTGCAGCTCCCCATAGCTCGTTCCAATCCTATGGCCTCCCCCCCCCCCCAGAGCAAAGGCCGGACTGGCCCTACTTTAACATGTGGAGGAATCAATCTGAGGCACTGTCACTCACAGATACTGGGTCTTTATCAGGAGCAGTCAGAGAGTCTGAACTCCTCTCTTGGCTCTATAAAGTCATGAAATTTCCACCCAACACTTGTTCGCTCAGTGGGCACCCAACCAAACCAGCCAGGAAAGATAAGACTGGAGACAAAGTTTGACAAATGGATGAACAGCGGGGGATTTTGTTTTATTCACAGTGTGTCTGTGGTGGATTATAGGAGTTGTCCTCCTGGCTGCAGGAGTTATATATGATCTAACCGATGACCTAAATAAACAGAGGCTGTTTGTCCATGCTCACTGTTGAGGCACAGAGGGAGAGAAGAAGAAAAAAAATAGAAGAGACTTAACGGGAAAGAGAGGGAGAGGCAGGCAAGCCGGGATAAAGTTACCTGTGCACAGGTGACCTCGTCGCCATGGGCAGTGGATTAGCTGATTGTTAGGTATCAGGTGACTCCTCCTGTAATATTGAAGAGGGTGAAAACAGCTTTGTTGGAGCCCAGAACAATATCCCATTCGCAGCAGGACAGGCTCACGGTCTGTGGGTCTCACGGGGAGGGGGATGCAGGAAAAAAAAAAACTCCAAATTCCACCTTTTGTATGGTGACAATAAATTAGACAGAAAAGGAGAAGAATTGTTCCCTCCCAGAACACACATCTCAATTGTGAATGTCAGAGTTATATGTTGAATTATAAAATGTACCTCTGCTTTCTTAGTTTCGAAACGAAGGCCACCATAACTTAAAACAAGAGGATAATTTTTGTCTACATTTCAAACATGCAGTATAAAACATACTCGGGTGTAGTAAAATAAGAGGGAACTCCCCCAGAACTCTGGCCTTATTAAAAACACTGACCTCTGCTCTTTCAGATGGTTTCAAAGCTGACATTTAATGCGGCGCAGCAGACTGCAAGCCATATGTAACATGACCTGGGGAGCACGGTACTCCACTGCTCCACGTCCCACTAATGAGAGGGCAGGGGTCAGCGGGTACCAGCCCGCTCGCACAGACCCACCACTACCAACCAAAGCAAGGAGAGATCTCCTTTTGGATTGTGGAAACTAGGTATTGTTTATGAACTGGAAATATATGTCATTGGCTGTTGTAGTTTTGTCTCTTACCTCCAACTAATATAAATGAGTTGTTGGTTGGCTGTGAGGTTGTCAGGTAATTGAACCTGCCCACTTTATCATGCAGGTTTGGAAAGAGGAAGATGCAACCATGAGTCACTGAAAAGAAAACATAAGGAGAGTTTTAAAGGGATACACACACACACACACACACACACACACACAGGAGCAGCAGCTGGGAGGCAGCAGCATCACATCCACCAGGTTGGTCTAAAAAGAGAGAAAAAACAGCACTCTGTAACAGGAGCAGGGCACATGGCTCCATTGATCTTCACATAGACACACACACACACCTGCTGCTGCTCAACTGTTCCTCTTAAAAAAAACTTCATCAATTCTCTAAAACACACATGCATCAACTCACCCTCTCCTTGGAGTCATATTTGGATATGTATGACAGCATTGTGGTGGCGCCCCCTCTCTGCCAGCAGCAGCACCTCCTGTTTTTCAATCCTTCCTTTTGTTTGTTTATGTGCTTGACGGGCCGCCTGGTTTGTTTACTTACTCCGTCTCGGCTGCAAAATAAAGAAAAAAAGAAGAATTTCCCTTTAAACAAATGCATCGGTCTTTCGGCTCGGAGCGTGTTTACAAAGCAGAGCACTGTAAAAAAAAAAAAAAAAAGCTGGGGCTGCATAATTGCATATTTGTGGAGGTGGTCCTCGGAGGAAATGCGTAATGATTTTGATGGGGAGGAGGGGGTTAACCCTCGTGCACTTGTACCAGGTCTAATTTTCCAACATGACAGGAAACTCTGTTAAGCTGATAATTGCAGCTCCAATTTCATTTAACTCACTCATGTCAACAGTTGTGTTTTGTTTTGAGAGAAGGAGCTGCTTTTTTTTTTTCCTCACCGCCTTTCTTCACCTCTCAGAATAAACCGCTTTTACTCTTAATTAAAAACACATTGAGGACATCCACAACTCACCACAAACTGTAAACCATTGACTAACTATTGATTGGATTAATGCATGTGTCAATAAATGCTCAATTAAAAGACAATTGAATGTAGTTTTACTACTGCTGCCTTGAGTCTATTAGAAAACAATTAAAAAAATTAGATAGGATTTTTGATCAATGCATTCAAAATCATTATTTATTTTATTTTACTGTGCAGAGATGTTGCCCTTAAATGTCCCCAAATGTCTCTCTGAAAATGCCCAAATCAAATAAAAGCCGTCTGGACTTAACCTCTGACATTTTTCACTTAATTTAAACAGTATCGGCTTTATTCCAGTCCATACTGCTGGAATAGCATCTTTGGATTCTGACAGAGTTAAACCCATCTGGTCAACGAGGCATTCCTCTTTTTCATTTTCCTCCATATTTTTTTAAACCATCCAGTAAGAAATAGGCTTCATGCTTTTGATGTCAATTTGATGAAGTGCTTTGAGTATATTTTCCTGCACAACACGATATCATCGTTGCATTTGTCATCTGTTCTCAAGTAACAGATTACAATACATAATGGCTTCTTGTATTTATCAATGTCTTTGCACCTCAAAATGTATCGCATAAATTGGATTAATTGAACAAACAGGAGCCACCTAACCCCCATTTTCAAACTGGCTATATGACACACAATCATTTTTGATGGAAATGGCAAAAAAAAAAAGTTTCATTTTCTCGGGATGAAAACACTCTGACTCATGTGAGTTTCCTGGAAAAAGCAGTGACTAAAACTCTGAACATCCGTAATATTTAGCAGTCTTGATTTTCCAGGATCTGAGCTGTTGTGGGGTTTGGAGTTTAACGAAGAGGAAAAAGCTGGTAACTAGAGTAAGGAATCCCTGCTCCATGTAAATCCCATTTTGTATAGAGTAACGAGGGATAGTGCAACCCAGTATTGCATTACTGGTCGGGGTCTGAGGAGTCCAGCACTGGTGGAGGCGGAGAGAGTCCACATCTTGAAATAATCTGGCCCCCCGGGCTGCTCGGGTTAAAGGAGGAGGCGCGGCGCAATGTGGTAGAGATATTAGAGAAACCCGAGAGCCGCTCATCAGACAGCTCATTTACTGAAGCACTGAGCTTTTACACACAGACAGGGAGCAGTGAAGACTCGGGCTCAAATGGGCTGAGTGTCCACTACAGATACAGAGAACATTTAGGCAAGAGGATGCACTCATTTAATCAGGGTTTCGCAATAAGAGAGGCGTAAAAACAAGAACTTAAAACAGCCTTAAAGTAGACCGACAACTTAACTTAGAAATAATAATTGAAATATACAGCTAATTAATATTTAATTAGTTTTATAACGTGATTTTTGTGATTCCATTCTCATGGCAATTGTGGCATAGAATAAAAGCATTTACTGATGTTGTAATGAAGCCAATTATCTAATAGGCCGATTCTTTTTGCACATTTAAGTAGGATACATATTCAGACCAAAGGAACTGTTTGGACAATTGTAAAATGAAGAGTCATTCAAATTAGTATAGGATGCCACGTAAATTGTGTTTTTTTAATATTAAAATTCGCGTTCATTGCTGAATGATCATCTGGCCGGATTTCATTTGGTTGTCCTGTAGTTATTATTTAGTAGTCCTATACGGCCTACCTACAATCCCTAATACTTTGTAAATATCGATATTCACCATCAGTCCAGGGGCTGTTTAGAACAGAACTGTTTTTTCAGCATTTTCTCATTGCAAAAATGTTCAGAGTGTTTTACCCCTACAGTAGAAATCCTTCAGCAACGTGGTCATTTGTGAAAGCGTTTACACTGAATGTGTTAAAGTTAAAACATTTTTTTTTCCAGGTCACATCTTCCCCTTTAACATATTGAAAGAGGGGCGTCTCTGGTGCAGATACAGAAATGTGATCTATATGGCTCAAACCAACAACTGCCCCACCAAGAAGTAGTGTCGCAGAGAACTCATTTACTAATGGATTGGTTTAGTGTTTCACCCACCAGAAAACACTGGAGCCAGTGCGGTGCCCGTCTAATCCCTGAAATATAAATGTGAGCTATATAGGCTGGAAGGAGCTCTGCAACAAAAAAAAAACATGCTGTCTTGATGCTAGGAGAAAAAAAAAAGCACGACACAACAAACAAGAGAGGGTGGTTATCTAATATTTCCAGATCCATACGCTAAAGAAGATTAATCTGGCCTTGTAAAAAAAATATTCAAACACTACATTTTAAATTGTCCATTAATGTGTAAAATCTTTAGTAAATGTTAGTATTTGTCCGTAATCTCGCAGCTATTGGTCAAAAATGTTGTGTGGCACTTCCTATCAGTCTTTCTCCTTCTCTCTCTCTCTCTCTCTCTCTCTCTCTCTCTCTCTCTCTCTCAGACACAAACACACACACTCACACGCACACACACACACACACGCTTTTACGCTTAAGTGGCTGATTTCCTGTAGGTGGTCTATATGTCCCATAACACGTTTCGCAGGTAGCATAGTAAAGGTTTCTCACATAAAAAAAACGTGCGTAATGGCGCGCACGGAGTCACCTATCATTGGGGCTTATTAAATTATATCGCCTCATAAAATAAACGGCTGTGGTAATTAATGGAAAGTGGAGTAACAACAAAATGTTAAATCTGGGTGTAATTAAGGTGGTGGGCGTCACTCCCAATCAGCTGTGTGAGTGTAAGGTAGAAAAAAAAAATAGGCCCAACCAAAAGCCATTTAAGATTTCACTTTTTTTGAAAAAGAATTTCATCACACTATTCTGCACTAAAGTCAGTTTATTGAGTGTTATATTTTAGTGAGTCAGAGTTAGCCTCTAGAAGGGTCTAAACGTTCCCTCACAGTTAAAAAAGCCTTTTGGTGTTTTTGTGGGTTTACCCTCCATTGACTGTGATTACTGATAACGTTTGGAGGAGATGCACTTGTGTGGTTTGTTCCACGTGCGAAACTTGAAAGCATATAGTCCCCACCAGTAGATGATGTATATTCACAACATGTTAATACGGCTTTTTAAGAGGTCTGTAATAATTGATTAGTGTCTAGGTGCCGCTCTGCTCCCTCAGCTGCAGCGCGAGAGGGACTGTGGGGGCGGGAGGTGCATGGAGCGCTCCTATTTCAGCCCCTGACGCACTGCCTCTGGGGAGGAAACGGAGCCGCAAACTCAGTCCTGCTCTGCTGTACACGGTGCAGGGCAGAGGGAGAGCCAATCACTGAAACGCACAGGCTCCCTTTAAGCCTGACATATCTCCAACAGGAACAAATTGTCCCAACAATCAACATCCCAATCTGCTGCGCGCATCAGGGGCCGGAGAGGAGCGGAGAGCCTACAGGCCCGTGCTGCGCAGAAAAATTGCACTGGATTGCATCGCGAGAAGAAGCTCAAGTTAACGCAGGCAATACACTACAGCTTTCGCTTTGGATACCGACTTTAAGGGTGGAGGAGTGAACTCGGACATCATGTCTATACTGCCGTCATTCGGGTTCACGCAGGAGCAAGTGGCGTGCGTTTGCGAGGTGTTGCAGCAGGGAGGGAATCTGGAGAGGCTCGGGCGCTTCCTGTGGTCTCTGCCTGCCTGCGATCACCTCCACAAGAACGAGAGCGTCCTCAAAGCCAAGGCGGTGGTGGCCTTCCATCGTGGGAACTTTAGGGAGCTCTACAAGATCCTGGAGAGCCACCAGTTTTCTCCACACAACCACCCGAAGCTGCAGCAGCTGTGGCTGAAAGCGCACTACGTGGAGGCGGAGAAGCTGCGTGGCCGGCCGCTCGGAGCTGTAGGGAAGTATCGTGTACGGAGGAAATTTCCGCTGCCCCGCACTATATGGGACGGCGAAGAGACCAGCTACTGCTTTAAAGAGAAGTCCAGGGGCGTCCTGAGAGAGTGGTACACACACAACCCTACCCGTCCCCGCGGGAAAAGAGAGAACTGGCCGAGGCCACGGGACTGACCACCACGCAGGTCAGCAACTGGTTCAAAAACAGACGGCAGAGAGACAGAGCAGCAGAGGCCAAGGAGAGGTACGACCATTCTCACACAGCTTTCACTCTGTGCTCGTTATTTACATAGAAAAATATGATTATTTTTTTTTGTATTGTGCATAATTGAGGAGATACACGAGGTTCGGATTGGAAGACGTATTTCCAAAATGTGTCTGGAAGCAGCCTAAGAAGCCAGAGTGCCCCGAGTACAAAATAAAAGTAGGAAAACGGACGCAAACATTTTCTTGATGAGAAATATCGAATGTAGGTTCTCAATATTTTGTTTGCATTTGGTAATTGATTCCCGATTGACAGGTAAACCCTGCTAACGGTGCAGATATGTAAACAGAGGCTAGTTGTTGACAAATGATAGACTCTTAAGAAACCGTCCTCTCTAAATCGTCTCTATTTTAATCAAATCCCTACAAGTTCCTGCATTAGAAAAAGGGCTTATGCTAAGATCATTTATCAGGAATATAATGGTGCACGATGGAAAAAAAACAAAGTATTATCAATTCTTATTTGGAGCGAGTTAAAGGTCAAATTGGGTAACCGTGTACTACAACAACAAACTTCATTGGATGAAGATTTTTGTTTTAGTTTTAGGACAACAAATCGTATAGATTAGACAGAAATAAAAACATTTAAAGAGAAGGAAATAAATACCATTTATACAAAAACGTCCTGTTTTTTTCTTCGAAGGCCTGCACGTTCTGTTGTTCCTGCAAATGAACTATAAATGTTTTTTTTATCCCCAGGCCTCACGGATTTAATGACATTTTCAAAGACAAAAAAGGGCGTATTTTCCTCTGATTTTCTCCCTCGTGTCATTTCCAGAGAGAACAGTGAAAACAGCAACGCAGGCGGCAACAAACAGAACCAGCTGTCGCCGCTGGACGGAGGAAAGTCTCTCATGTCCAGCTCGGAGGACGAGTTTTCTCCCCCTCAGAGCCCCGACCAGAACTCAGCGCTTTTGCTCCAGGGCAATATGAACCACCCCGGGGCCTCCGCGTACCCCATGTCCGGTCTAGGAGCCCCACAGCCGGTGCACAGCATGCACGGACACCCGCACCAACTGCAGGACTCCTTGTTGGGACCTCTAACGTCCAGTCTCGTGGATTTGGGCTCTTAAAGAGGCTACCAGATTATTTTATTTTACAAAAAACGTGAAAAAAGAAGACTGATAATCAGATTGAGTACATGTATGAAATAACACTATTGTAGCCTATACCTTATAATATAGACTGACTTATCTGTCGTTAAATTTGGTTAGATCAAAATTCCTTTTACGCGCTTAACCTGTGTATCAGTCCTGACAGGAGCTTTTTTCTGATCTCTTGCACATAAAAAAAAAAAAGAAAAACACAAACGGGACCTGACTGAAACTCTTAAACTCAACGAGACACTTAACTGGACTGGCCCTTCGCTTAATTTATGAGATTTTGTTGAGAAAAAAAAAGAATTATAGCAACATCCTGCGATGGAAACTAAGAGGTAACGTTTTCATTAGACTCATTGTAATTAGTTTCCAATAAAACAAAAGTCATACATTTGTCTCTGTGTAATTTGTGTACAAAGTGGAGAAATAGCACAGAGTTTGGCCCTCAAACGAATGGATCCGGGTTGTGGTCAATTACAACATAATTTAGTTAGGCTAACTAAAGAAAATAACGTAGATAATAACTTTTCTCAAATCCATTTTTTTTTTTACTTGAGAAAATAAAAACAACAATGCTTGAGAATGTAAATCGATACAAAATGCCAAGTCAGCAATCAAGTCCACACTGGTGGTATATGAACCCGCATCAAGAATAATATGAGTCATAATGCGGTGAAGATTAAAGCCTGCTCCACCAGTTCTTCGCCCTTATAATAATTACGGTAATTCAAAACATAGATTTCAAACACAGAGCCATAAGGGGAAATGTAATTATACAAATGTGAGTCAACATGAGCAGCTGTCTGTCAGGAGCTGTTGTGTACACACGGAGCTGCCTTTAATATCGTGTCTGTACCATAATACATGTTTGACTGAAGGAGAAAGCTTTTTTTTTTTTTTTTGCTTTTTTTTTGCCCGAGTGCTGCGGATCATTGGCTTTTTGGTGCCGTGTTTTCTTTACTCTCTCACTGAGTTTGTTCTGTCGGTTCCGGGCCATGGGAAAGAGCCAGCACTCAACTTTTACCAGCTCTGGATATTCAGACAAAAAAAGAGAAGAAAAACATCCCATACGAGAAGAAAAAAAAAAACAAAGTTCACTGCATGTGTAGATGTCCTTAAAACAACACAAAAGAAAAAAGAAAACAGCCCATATTAGAAAAAAATACATAAATAAATTCCCTGTGTAGCCTATAGGTGCCCTTAAAACACAACACCACAACAAAAGAAAAAACAAACAAAAACGAATACTTGTATATATATACTCCAAATCTTATAGACTTCATGATAATTGCATTATTAATAACAACAATCTAATAATAATGCCTTTTAAAATTGTTATTCGACTTCAGCTTACAATAACACTGATTATGACATTGGAACTATATTAATAGATGGTAGTAGTAATAATAATAATAATAGAAATAACAATAATAAACAACAGATTCTTTTTGGGACAGGTTATGGGAATATTTTGTATATTGTGGTGAGGACAGCTCTTCTGTCCCCCGCCCCCTTCACTCTCTTTGGGCTCATGTCAGGGTAAATTGTTTTGAGCAGAGAGCACAGAGGATTTCCTGAGCATAATCTGAAACAGTCGCTGCTAGCATTACTGCCTGATTGCAAAGATTGCAGGGCTTCAGGACCTGGCTTCACTGGAGGGACCTTGAGCTATTCTGCATCATGGAGGCCTCTCCCTCTCTCTCTCTACCCCCTCTTAGTCTCTCGTCTTTCTTTTCCCCTCAGTATAAGAACCTCAGGTCAACTAAAAACACCAGTCCTGTACCCTCATGTTACCCCCTAAAGCTCTCCATATGCTTGTTTGAGTGATGTGTCTGTCTGCTTGTCCTCAGCAGAACTTCCATCATCAGGCTTTAGGTCATTTGTTTGTCCCTTTTACAAACTAAATATGGCAGTGTTAACATGTATGTAAAGAAGTCAGGTCACTGTCCTAAGTAAAAGTAACAATGTCACTTTATAAAATTCTTAAAACAATGTAAAAGCCATGCATGTAAAAAGTGACCTAAAATAATGAATGTTTGTTGCAAAATGTGCTTTAAGTATCAGAAGTAACAGTTAGCATGCAGGGAAACTAGCAGTCTTTTTGGTATAAGATTAGATGTGATACACTTAACTACTTTATGTTATGCTGTTTATTAAAATCACATCAATTATGTTTTATGTGAAATCTTCGTGTAGACTAAGGTGTTAGTGTCAAAAAGGAAAATACACATGAGAAGTGCAGAGGTTTAGATAATTAAAACAGCTTCTGATGGATTTAATTCATGTAAAGAAAAATATTTCAAAATTGATTTAAAGCCTTCAAAACAATGTGTTTAAATTCTGATTTATTTCTTTTTCACAAAAAATAGCTGTGACTTCAGTTTGAGTGGAGAAAATCCCAGTTTGGTAATATTTAGGGTTCCTGTCTGAAAATGTCAAAAGCTAATTTACTTCACCAGGATTGTGTTGATGGGGTTTGAATTGATTTGATTGACAGCAGCCTTCAAACCAGATCGAACAACAACACAACCTTAAACGGATCTGATTCAAATGTTGCAAAAGCACAAATACAGGTTCTGTCTTTTGTGTTACAGTGTATTGAATGCAATCCCTCATAGCAAGAAGCTGGTTGGTACATCATAATAGCCGGGACTTTGATTTAGGTATTAGAGTATTCTCATTTTACTCTTTGTTAAACCCCCGGTGAGATCACAACCAGCGTCTTTAAGCAGACAGTGTGAGATTGACATTTAAAGACATCAAATTGTCACGACAAAACAACTAAAGTATAACACTAAACTTTTTCAAATTTGATTTGATTTTCAGTCTACAGATTACAAACAGTCACAATGTGAAAAAAATAACTAGTTGTATAGATAAATTATTCATATTCAAATCATTAAGGGATTTTTTTGTACTGAATAATTTTTCATATAGTTTCAAATTTGTTTTAACTTGCACCTGAGTTAAATTGTTTGCACTCTTAAGAAAAAAGAAATGACATTTTATGAGGCTTTACCTGAAAGTCAAACAGTATTGCCTGTATGTTATATCAGTAGAGGTCAGGAGAGAGCAGAGGTCCTGCACATCCCCATATAACTCGAAGCAGAGCACATGTCTCTCCCTGTTGGCACGCAGCATGGCTGAATATTCACAAATTAACAAACAGGTGATCACAAAGCTACCAAAGTGCCTCCTCATACCTGTTAATCTAATGACAACATGTCCGACAGGGTACATAGACACAGCGGGATTAAACAGGCTCTGTGCCACATGACAGAGGGAAGCTAACAGAGTCACCTTCAGGATGTGCAGGAGACTAAAATCAATCCAGCACGGAAACTCTGACAGTGCTTTTAATCAAGCTCAAATCCCTGCTTTCCGAATGCGTCTGCAGCCATGAATCTATGTGCTGTATATGAGCCTCTGCCTCTTCCTCTCATCGGCCATGCAACAAGTGCTCCAGCGTATACACTACATGACAAAAGATGGAGGCGTCTGTGCCAGTTAAAGCAGCTGCTGATAGCAAACAGAGGCCCAGTCATTTCATTTGACATAAGTGGCAGTGGCTCTAAATCAACAGCAGGAAAGGGCCCTGACGTGTGCAAATAAACATGGAGAGTAGCCTGCATGAGTGCAAGCCGTCTGACTCAGCGTGCGTCATGTTTTCTCTGGCATCAGAGTCAAAGAAAATCTATCAAATACGGACAGAATCTAAAGCCAGGGCAACTTTTCAGTGGCCTGTTTTTGTGGTCTAGTGCCTGCAGGTAGCTTTACCCCAACATGGGAGCCGGGTGTGAGACAGTCCCAGGTATCCATAACCACAGGGCTGTATGAGGTGGGGAGGAGAGAGAGGAGGAGGGGAGGCAGGCGGGTGATGAGGGACAAAAGGATCTTTTCAGGTCTGCCTCAGAGGGGCAGGGCTGCTGGTGCAGGGAGGTGAGGAGGGGAGGGGGGGGGGGGGGGGGTGGTGGAGAGATTTTCTTACCGATGATGCATGGATCTGACAATGTTCCTGCCTGGACGTAGCCAGAGGCAGATGCAGGCTGAGTGTGTGTGTGTGTGTGTGTGTGTGTGTGTGTGTGTGTGTGTGTGTGTATATGTCTGTGTGGTTGCAAACTCACGTGTAGCAGAGAGAGGAAGTTCAACTGATTAACGTAAAGAAGAAAGTAAAATACTGCAGAGAGAATTAGGTGCTGCTATGACGTAACTGTGCAAAAATCAGAGGGATCATGTGACTCCACCTTAAAAAATGTTAATTATTCTGATGTTAAGTCAAACACAGCCTCCTCTCAGGAGTAAAGGAAGTCTTTCGTCCAACAGGAAGCTACCATGTGACAGAGCTGAAAGAAATATTTATCTCTTTCTCCCAGTCAGATGAGTGATGTATGACCCAGGGTTCAGACCCGAGGAGGAGGAGGAGGAGGAGAGGGAGGAGGAGGAGAAGGGGGAAGGGGGGAGGCTCTGCAGACAATCCAAAACTATAAGGGTGTTAAATAGCATGTTGTGTGTCAAATGAAGGACAGCATCATTTACGTATACCTGATAAAAAAGGGGAAATATTTTATGACATGTTACAAGAGGAATAGACAAAGGACAAGATAAGACTTGTGTGACATGTGTGTGTGTGTGTGTGTGTGTGTGTCTGTGTGATGGCTGCAAAAGAGGACGTGCATAAAAGAAAAGTGGCCAGAAGGCAAAGTCTCATATGTCGACATCTTCCACAGACAAAAGCCAGCTCTGGTTCCCGAGAATCAGATATGTATATTTTTGGAGCTGGGGGAGAAATGTGATAGTGGCATAAGTCTCATATGTTTGATCAGGGAAGTGACTTCAGTCTGGGATGTTTTTTGGAAAAAGTTTCGTAAGGACATAACAGATTTATTAGTTGGTATCAGAGTTTCAAAGGCAAATGAAGTGTCACGCAAGAAGAGACAAAGAAAAGATTGAATTGAGAGGAAGACAACTTAAAGGAAGGGGCAGGAGCTGTTGAAAACATCGTTAACATCTCCTTCATTATCGGGATGGGTTTCAATTCATACTTCATTAAAAAAGAAAAAGTGCGAAAAGTGTGAATATTCAATTCAGAAAACGTAGTAAGTAAAGCTTTACCACAGATGTAAGTTTGCTATGGAGCAAACTTTGAGCCAACAGTTGTGTTGAGCATGGTCCCGGCAAATAACCTAATAAATTCAACTGAACTTTCATCAATTGCCGTTTCACTGATTTACATTTCAAAAAGGGGTTCATCTTTTTTTCTCAGTGTGTAAAGCCGTATAGGTTCTTTAAACAAAGACAAACAACAGCTCTGTTGGAGGCTCTCTGCAGTCAGGGCTTTTGCTTTTGATTTGATTTTGAAAATGGCTCACAAATAGTTATTTTTTTTAAT